CTGCAAGCAGTCTCTTATTTTTCTTTGCAAAGTTACTGCACGCGAAACCCAATCACGCGAGCAGCGAAGTCGCGATAAACGAGGGCGTAAAGCACGGGGAGAAGAATCTTTTGTCTGTCTGGTTAAAAACGCTCGACAATCTATTATGATACACGACAAAATAAATAAAATGTGAATTATCGTAAAAGATTTTTTAAAAAACTTGAGACCTAAGAATATGTAAAAATATGGAAACAGATAAAGTTATATCCATTTCATGCACTGACCGCCTGAGCGCGAAGTGGTCGAGGATTTGGCACTGATCGGGGTGATGAATGGTCCATTAAAATTTTTAACTGCTTGCAAAATTTTACCTTTTCTTGATTTGCTCGCAAAATTTAAAGGAGTGCTCGCTTGCTGATGCTCCCAAAGTTTTCGCAGTTTCTCGCAAGCTTGCTTTCTTGTCAGTATTGCTCGAAATTTTTTAAATCCTTCTTTGGGTAAATGTAATTCTGTATGATGCTTAATTCCTATAAATATGGCTATCAAGTTCAGTGGAAATGCACGCGGTAAATGACAACGATAGATAATAAATTGGGGCGTACGGGCAATTTTTTGCCAGGGGGGGCGGTAAACTATTTGCACAAAAAATTCTCGCAAGTTGCCCAAATTTTTACGAAACAGTAGAAAAGAAACGAGGGCCATACGATGTAACAACGTAGGCCGTACTGGCATATGAAGGTGGCTCGATACTGTAACAGTTTTTCAGGGTCAATACCTCCCAATTTTGAGCATAACTACGTTGCCATAGACAAACATATGGAAAAATTCCTGCCATAGTTTTATTAGATATAGACGAAAATTTATCATAGGGTTTTAATGACATCGGAGTTGTCATAGCAACGAAATGACGCCGTTGTCTATTTTACTTGCAGCAATATTTCTTGGCACTGGGAACTGTTCCTACAAAATCTTTCACGGGAACTTTTTTCTCCAATAGTCGCGTCGATGTTCGTGAAATTAAAACGGAATCTATAAGAGAGTTATCGGGATATTTTGGGATGAAGTTTTAGAAATATGCTAAAAAAATCTTGATGTTTGGCCGTTATCTGTAGAAAACGAATCTTTTTTGACATGCAATTTCACCTCATAGTAGCTTCAATCTTTTTAAAAACGTGTGTAAAAGATCATGGAGATAGCTCCGGTCGATCGCCAGAGAGAAGGATTCGATTTCATTAGTATGTATAGAGGCGCTCTTGTTAGCGGTTTTGTAAACATTTCGGTCTACTTTAATAAATTATTGCTTGATAGATTATTTAAAAAAAATTAATATTCTTCTCGTAATTGGACCTGAGTACTAGTCAGCCACTTCTTCATTTTCACACCCACTGTTGCTGATGCTATCTGTCATACACTGTTCTACGGGCGCAGATGATTCTAAATAGAATATGCGGAAGTTTATTCTAAGCAATTCACGACTGGAAAGAGCCCATTCCAGTCAGTGCAGTGCAGTACACTGCTCAACAATAAAAAACTATAAATATGTAAATCAACAAATGATACCCTTCCCTATAACCAGAAACCCATCACGTGCTAAGCAACCACTGTGAGTGTCTCGCGAGAATGTAACTGGATTATTACGCTGACTTCAGGATTTTTTCAGATTAAAATAGAAAATATTTGTCTCTTTAAACTAATAAAAAAAACACGGAAACGTCTTTTAATAATGGCTTTGCCCAAATTTTCTCTTGCTGCCCAAAAAATCTGAGTTGCCCAAAATTTTGGGGGGAGCTGCAGCCCCCCTCGCCCCCCCGGCCCGTACGCCTATGTGGCTAATCTAGCTATATATGGTTATCTATGGTTGTTCTATATGGTTGTTCTTCTTGTGACCTTTGCATTCTGATCCGTAAGAACACGTGCATGATGAAGTAAAGCGGAAATGTAACGTCATTTGACTGTAATTGGTTAGCTCTCGATAGGGTGTCACCAGAAACTCATAAGGGGTTGAAACGTGTAACTCGCGTTCAATGCTTGTGAATATTCATTTTGACCATATTTGGAAATCTTGGTGACGGATATCCATTTTCAACAAAATGGCTGCTGAGCGATCACCATGCAGATGTTTTAAGACAAGAGTTCTGCATTTCAAGTATAAAAATACACCGTTAAAAGACAAAAAATGGAAAGAGAAAGTTCAAAAGAATGCTCAGCTTTCTTTTTGTGGAGAAAGGGAAGCTTTTCATCAAGAAATCGTCCTTCGAGGAATTCAACCTTGTTTTCTTCACGGCGGAGCCCATGGTCTGTTTTGAAATGCAACCAAGTCAGCGAAGATTTTGCTGAATTTTCAGGAACATTTTGCACTCTATGGCCAAGACAATTACGTTTTTGAAAGGGAATTTATGTATTTTTAAATGTTTCATAGACGTTTTATAAATTTTTCTCTTCGGCGCTAAAGAAAAATTACAAAATGTGCCCTCATTTGAGATGGATTTTGCGTTGAATTTTGCCATGTGCTTAGCCGATGTCACTTGCGTGAACGGATCCACGATCCAGATAGTGTTTTCCGAATTGCTTTAAAGGATTAACTTTTTGGACTTTGAATAAAAATTTTCAAGAAACGGCTTCTCTGTCTATTGTTTTGAGTTTGTTCATAAAAGTAGCTCAAAACACGATCGTGACTACAACACCTAAGTTTAATTTAAGCTTTTAAAATGCTTCTCACATTCATTACAAGCATCACTTTTTGCGAAGATGTCAGGTTCAGGTTTTGGACACTTTCGATACGCAGCTAATGAATTTTATTCGAAAATGTTTTTCACTGTTTATTCTAGACTTTTGACATAAGAATTTTAAAGGCCTATGTGCAGTATAAGTTTCCTGTGCAGAGGGTCAAACGAGGCATCGTTTTTTGAAGTGACAACTTCAAGAAGTTGCGAGGCCGTTAATGGGTTTCATAATGTAACGTTTGGCCCGGGTGGTAAGGCAATAATATCCTGTTCAGTGTTTCGGTAATATTCCTGGTTTCAACCTTTGAAAGCTTTCTCGGCTTTCGGGAGTTTTTCCCCCGCTTGTCGGCCATTTTTTCTAAGCGGGCGCGGGAACCTGAAGGAAAATTACGTCACGTTGTTTACGAAGTTTGATTGGTCAGTTATCTCTTCTTCTCGTTCCAAATATGGTACTTTCGAGAATGAATAATCACGAGCATCGGACAAAGCAAACATATGAGAGTTACACGTTTCAACCCCTTATGGGTTTCTGGTGTCACTCAAACTAGCTTCAGAGAACTTGGTCCGCTCTATATTAAAACCCCGTTTTAAAACATTTTCTGTTTTATTTTAAAGAAACGGATTTCCATATGGATTGCTGCAAGCGGAAAATATAAGAAGTGCTCGCTGCTAGCGAGTTGTACTCTCTAAACTGCTCGCTGCTCGCAAAGCAAATTTTTTGTTTCTGCTCGTGCTCGCAAAAAAATTGCAGTGCTCGGCATGCTCGCAGATGGGGCAATCCAGTGAATAAGCGATAAAAACTTTCTGGAAGCATCCAAAAAGTAGTAAATTTGTCTGCATTAAATCCAGTCTTCAGTTCATGCATAATTAATACATTTTTAAGAAATTCCAAGATATCCGGCGAAATTCCTCCCATAGATTTTTTTGAAACTTCGCACAACGGAAGCACCCAAAGTATACGTAGCCTTTTTTTAAAGAGAAATTGCAGATAAGGGCTGAAATTTGATTTAGCGCTAAAACTATTGGGACGTCATTGCCAATATCGCCCAAAAAATAGTATCATAATAAAGTTTAATTTGTTTAGTATAACAAATTCAAGGTGTCGCTACAAAAAAACTGTATCAAGCCACCTCAACTTTGTGAAACAAATTGAAGGGAGTGTAGCTAAATGTCGTGGGTAGTGGGTAGAGGTCGTGGGTCGTGGGTGTGGGTCGTGGGTGTGCGGTGTGGGTAAATGTCGTGGGTAAAAAAAAGTCTTCCAAAAAATTAAAAAATTAAAAAGCAAAAAGTTGTAAATTTGTGAAATGAAAATCTCCGCTTACATACCAGTCCTATTCCTCTTCGCCGCAGTCAGCAAAACAAATAAGCGAATCCTTTAGCGGGCAAAGGCATTAAGGTGAAAAGTAAAAGAAACTCTGTACACTATGTAAACCTGAAGCAGGCTCTAGAAAAACTGGAGACTGAACTGCTCTTTCTCAAAGATGTCAACATTCGTGACTGAAACGTCCTTTCATTTTAAGGAATGATATTTTGAATCGTTAGAGCAAAGATTTTGTACACAAAACAGTACAAAACAAACCAAATAAAGAATCGAGAAAATTGTATTTCCGTACCACAATAAAATTTACATACAGTCTCGCCTTAACTTGAAAGGTTGGAAATGAAGCTGGTTCCTTTCGTAAGGTAAGAGCTAAGACCTAAAACTTCTTTAAGAAAGACTTCTATCCAAAAATATGAAATACCTCAAAATTGTCCTTTTCCCCTACCCTTTCTCACGTTGATTGCATTCATGATCGTGTTGAAAAATCTCCGCTAATCATTCATTTGTAGACCGAATAAAGTTTAATAGTGAGCAGCTATTTCCATTCAGCGAGTCTGAGCTGTCCCATACTTTTTGCAAATTTCAGGTATGATTTACGTCCGTTTCGTTTATTTCGCGGCGATAGCTCAGGTATGCAGTATGGATAAATCTTCATTGGCAACATGTCTTTTATACATTGTGACGAAAAAGGCAATCAAGGAGTTGGAGATTTCCGTTTCATAAATATTTTACAACTTTTTTTCTATTTATTTCTTTTTTTCAATTATTTTACTTTATCTTTTTTTTAATACTTTTTTTTACCCACACCTACGACCCACGACCCACACCCACGACCCACGACATCTAGCTACACTCAATTCAAGGTGTCGCTACAAAAAAGCTGTATCAAACCACCTCAACTTCACTTACGGCTCCTTCATGGTAGGGGTATTTTTTACTTAAGTTGTTTTTCATTGTAATCCTTACAGGTCATTATGGAGGCTGATTCAAAGGTAGCGATAAACTACCACACACTTGAAGCGGAGGTTATAGCTGAATTAAGCACTAGAGACAGATTTGCCCCAATAGAAGAAAGGCAGGATACTGGAGTGTTAGCTCTTGATGTCATTTCTACAATAAGCCATGGTAATACCTTATGAAAAGGGAACAAATGCCATGTATATTTGGGTTGCCTGATTTGACAAAAACTTCACCAGTAGAGGTAGCCTGCGTAGCAGGCGCTTGGAAGTAGTGGGCGAAAGAGAGAACGGGCGCGTGCGAGGGAGACACGGGTGTCTCCCTCTCGAGCGTCCATTTTTTCTTGTGTACAGTAGAAGATGTATGCCTTGCGAGCTGTCCAAATGCAAATTAGTGATCAGAAATATTTCATTTATAGATCATTTGCCTCATGCAAACTTTTATGCTTCTTCCCTTGCTTTTTCTTAATTTGTTTTTCTGTTTTCATTCTTTACCCATCAGTCTGTCATTCATTTGTATCAGGCTTTTCTTTCAGTTTCTATTTACACTTCTTCCATTTTCTTTCTTCCTACAATGATTTCTGACTAAATCTGGGACACTTTATCTTATCTGAAAGCTCGCCAGAAGCTGGTCTTATCAGGCATACGTCTTTTAAGGTACAGCTGACGTCTATGAAAATAAACTGGTTACTTGAGAAATATGTGGTGTCTTTTAAAAGAGCAAGCACCCGCTAAATTATTTCAGAATCATCAAATTGTGAATTCATTTTCAAGGGAGGAGGGGACGGAACCCCAAACTTGTTTTAAGAATTCGGCAACAGAGTACAGCGTCGTTCGAGACCCGGCGAGGCGAAGAGTCCGATTTCTCAGGGTCCGTCTAGTCAGGTGAGGCAAATCAGGCAGCATTGATGTGGTTTATTTCGCTAACCCAGTGTCTTTGTGTTTTTCTCCCCTTTGTTTCATTCGTTACAAAAGCCCATTAAAATAAAATGAAAAATACAATGACTCAGAAAACTATTTTTCTGCGGAGTTTGTTTAGATCTGAGCAAAGCATTTGATACGGTAGACCACTATATTTTATTTTGTGTAACACTACTACTGGCCCACTACTCTTTTTGATTAACAATTATGAGATCTGTAACTCCTCTATAGCTAGTATATTTTCTAATTTACTATATATTGACAAATAACCCATTGCCTTGACAATAAATAAAACTGGCCCATGGATGGAACCTTGTGGTACACCCACAGTCAAGGGGTGCAGTTCAGAGACACAATTAGCTTGGCTCCGTTGTTAAAGGAAGTTCATTTTCAGACAAGTCGCACGCAGAATGGACTCGCCAATTCTCCTGACACATGTCCAGAAGGACGATCACGGATATCTTTTTGTCATCCATGTTCTTTTAGATTTTATCGGTGAAATAAAGTAGGTCGGTTTAGGTTGAGCGTAATTTCTTATTACCCGTTTAAGCGTTCAAAATTTTCATTTTGATCTAAAAATTTAAGAAAATGCGAAATAGTTACATTGGTCATCATGTGTTTGCTTACCAATAAAGTTCACGTTTTAACTGTGACCTCAAGTAGCTGATCTCTAAGAAACACCGTTTGGGCCTGGAATTTAACTTTCTTGCCTTCCTTAGTGTGCTTCACACTTAAACTGATCAATCTCGCGTATTTTTTTCAGGAAAATATCAAACCTTTTGGCGTGGAGTATCACTTTTGAAAGACCCCTTGGATCAAACGATTCTCCAACAATTGCTATGGGAACAGAAGCCTCGAACTGTTATTGACTTTGGCGCCTATAAAGGAGGCTCCGCTTTGTGGATAGCGGACCTGTTAAAGCTGTTCGGTTGTCAGTCTCGAGTTGTATCTATGCTGAAGCTGGCAAGTCTTCGGATGTGGAGTTCATTCAAGGCGACTCATTTCAAGTAGAGAAAGTTTTATCAAGCACGTTTCTGGAAGTAAGTTAACGAAACGGTGCGCTATCTTTTGCTCTGCCATGTGTACTACTTTAAACTAATCATGGTTGGTTTTTAACTCATGGATACGCTAACTATAGAAACGTGTTCTTGTAAACAGTGTCATTCGACCCCACTGTTGCCAACCTAAGTTACCACGAAAAATCGGCTTTTCTAATCTGAGAAACAAGGAGAATTCTAACAGAATTGGTAAATTGTTTCTGTTTGACAAATAGATATCATGTTGCCCTGCGTCTGTTCAGTAATAGATCACAGATGACCTCAAAATGTGGTAAAAACCAAAAAAGTGACACACGAGCCGCAGGCTCGTGTGTCACTGATGTTTTACCACATTTTGGCGTCTTCTGTAGTGTTGACAAACATTAAAATTTATTCTACAGCAGCTGGAATTATTCCTCGTCTATATCATTTCAACATATGGAAAGGGACGTTTTCCTTTGTCATCTGATTTTGAATGTAACTGTTGCGGTGAAATAACATCCTTACTAAACCGGTAAATCAAATTATAACTCCTTTTGTTTTACATTCATTTTCATACATAATCAAGTCCACAAAATGGAATAAGGAGACAATAGACCATTTTACAGTTGTGTACTTAGTATCCTAGTCTTTGAGTGAACGTGAGGCTGAGGTTGACCTTGTTTTGATACAAACCTCTTTCCAGTTTTCTTATGGAAATTATGCTTAAAAAATACCAGTTAGCATAAGAACAACACGAGTTACATGATAAAGCGGGAAGGGTTGCAGAAAAAAAAGGTCAACTCGAGCCTCGTTTCCCCCTGCAACTGTAAAATGGTCTATTAAACCACGGCATACACATTTTAAAAAATGACCAAATTTGCTTTCCTTGATAATGATATTGTTAACAATAGTTTTTCCAAAGATGTCGCATTATTTAACAGAATTTGCATCATCCTTGGCTCGTGATAGAAGACGCGCACGAGAACTTGGTTGGAGTGTTGGAGTATTTGGATAAGTTCACTGAACCCTGGCGACTATATCTGTGTTGAAGATACGAATCCTCTGGCTCCTGGGGCAGGGCAAGGTCTTGTGAAGAAGCGCGGTTATAAAACGATTGGTCCAAGCAAGATGAATGAACTCAGGAAATTTTTGACTGGTCGTTCCGATAGATATCTTGTTGATCAGAAATACACCGATTTCTTCGGGTAAGAAACAAAATTGTCTGCATTTGTGCATGGTTTTCTTTAACTAATCGCTGGAAGCTCGTGTGGTTTTTGTAGAAGCAAACAGGCCTACTTAAACCCCATTTTTCCTCCAGTAAAATGAAATTGTTTTACCTAAGAGTGCTGCAAGCAGAGCTGTATTTGTGTAGTGCGCGTTTAGAGATATTTGGGAGTTCGACCTGCTGCCCCAGGATTAAGTCCCGTTCGTCATTAAGCTCAGGTGCTGTCTGAGGATTACGAAATTAGAATTCGATTACGAAAACAGACTTTCTTTTTTCGCAATTTATTTAAATAAAAAGACCAGCAAGCAACAGCAGTTAAAAGAGATGCAGTGCTCTTAAGTAGATATGTGGGCGGGATCCCCGTTGTCAATGAAAGATATACGACAGATATACCTTTTCTTTCAAAGATGGTATATTTAAAAGGATAAGGGTTTAAACCTGGGGGCAGAGCACAACCTAATTAACCTTTGTTGAGTGCGGGACCGTAGGGTTGTGGGGGCACTCCCCTATTTATACTATATTCAACTCACTCTAAAACGGACACGGTCGGGACCAGCTTTGATTGCCCGTCGTAGAGAGCTGTCTGGGTTATATAGGGGATCATTTTCTCAATCAGAGTAGAATCAAAAGCTTATTACAACTAAATGTTAAAGGCTTAGAACTGATCTCCCCATGCATTATGAGTGGTGTCTCCGGTAGGCGTTTGTGGTTGAAAACGAAAATTATGGTTCTAATCACAGAAGATTGGTTGGAAAACATCATTATAACGGTATTGAATAAAACGCCATAAATACAGGAGTCACATACTTCGACTTGCATGCTTCCTTACATCGTAAGTTGGTACGGTCTTATCGAGCACCTACATTTCCAATTTAACTGGAGTATTCTTCACTACATAAAGCACAAGTGTCCTTTGACGGTTTCCAAAGTATCTGTTGTCCGTTTTAAAGAGGTTTCCGTCTTATAGAGAGTTCAGTTGCAGTAAAATGACGACAAAACGGCAGAAATTAACAACACGCGTCCGTTTTACAGAAGTGTCCATTAAGAGAGATCAAGAGTTGACTGTATATAGAGTCGTGCAGCGGTAAGGTCAATTAAATGAGTCAATGTTGAAACCGTTTGACCCCATAAACAGATTTCATATTCGCTTGGATTACTTAACCATTCACAATCTATGTCGTTGTAGTTTATCTTTCGTCCACCTTACTTTGTATATTTTTTAACTCACACAGGTACAACGCCACTTGGAATATGAATGGTTATCTGAAGAGAGTTTAGCAATGTGTCCGCGATGATTTATCATTTTCTTGTTGTTGTTGCTGTTTTCATGGATCGAAAATAATATCCAAGAGAGAGTCGGAATAGACATTAGCCTTAAAACGGCGAAAAACTGTAGCATTTTATCCTTTTTATAGCGTTTTTTTGCCTTTAAATACTCCCAGGAGAACAATATTACCTGATTTCCTGAACATTATTCCTTGATTCTTTTAAGAACTTAAAAGTTCTCTCAAACAAATCTGCCCATTGACTATTTGCGTGTTCTTGATTATTAAAACTGTTAAAACAACTTCAGAAGGTCTGGTACTTTTTCTGTGTACCTTTTATTTCAAATAGAGTCTTAATTTACGTAGTTATTTAATTCTTAGTTTTTATCCATCGATGATTGTACATAGTCTTTATATTTTTCTGATAGTTGATCTGTTATACTTATTTTTTCCTTTAACTGTTAATTTTTTAGTTGCCCAGGGCACCCTGTTTATAACAGCTTCAGATGACGGGTTTACTCTGGTTAAATATGTTATTATTATTAAAATTATTACTATTATTATTATTTCAATCTTAAAACATTTAGGATGCATTAAATCATCTCCATGATTGCAAAATAGCTTTCTACTCCATCGACGAGTTTGGTCCAATAGGTTGAGGAAAAGAAAGATTTTCGCGTCGCTTTATTTATCTCGCTTCGCCGGCTCGGGCCGCCAAAATTTTTCCCCAAACTAGCACGAGTGAGCCTGCTCGTAAGCTGGAAAAGAAGCAAAAATCTTGGTGGTTCATTTTTTACAAAGCCAAAAACGCCGGCTCTATTAAAACACTTTGCCGTGATTATCTTTAGTCGCCCTTGCACTCAGATTTGATTCGACATTATGATCTATTTAATGTCCAATTGAATGCTCTAAAAAAAAAAAGGAAAAACGTCTGACCCATCCCCTTTCTCAAGGCGCTTGGTTAAAATGGACGCTAAATGGTGTCATTTGTTGGGGTTTGAAGCAACTCACCAGCTTGCGCAAGTTCGCCCTCAGTTTTTCAGTCTTTATACCCCCATTTTTCAGGCGCCGCTTTGGATGCTCGACTTATGAGTATGCTTCGGGGGGGGGGGGGGGGGGGGGATGTTACTATTCGTAACCGTCTGCAGTTACTCTGATCGTGTACTCCGTCTTCGTTCTCACCTCCCCTCGGGGGGTCGCGTGGTGGGCTGGTTTGGGTGGGGGTCGGGGGTGGGGGGGGGGGGGGGGGGGGGGCTCCGCATATAAAAGGGGTGGGGATGCTCGTGGTCTCGCCTAGGGGTGTTAATTTCGGATTTTGGTCTCACTTAGGGTGTTCTGGGCAAAACGCGATCATATTTAGCCGTGAAGGTCTCGTTTAGGGTTGCACGCGAAAAAATATAAAAATGTATATATTGTCTGTGTTTTAACATGTTCTCTTTTAGGGGTAAAAAAAAAGCTTGAGCCACGCCCAGATCGTTCCACTTTAGGGGCTTAATTAAAAATTTCCGACGAGCATCCCCACCCCTTTCATGAGCCGGGTTCCCCCCCCCCCGTGCATGATTATGGGTCCTCTTGCTTTGTGAGATTAAAAGACTACAGACTAGATCGTGTAACACGGCTCAGCTTAAAAAAAAAACACAAAATAATTGGAGATGGAATATCTTTTAACTTGTGCTGTTTATTGATTCTTAAAGAAAATTAATATTAACTCAGCGGTTTCATTGATAATAGCTGCCTCATTTTCACACAGAGATAGTCAAGCGCAAAGTGAAACACAACTGACCTTTGAACACCAATAATCACCTGCTGTTACAAACCGACTTCTGGTGTCGCAACAGGCAAGGAAATAATTTGTTTACCCTTATTATATATGACCTCTCATATCAACCTCCATATTTTCCAAAATGTTTTCCTTACATCTCTTTTTCTACGTATGAGGAAAATTGATTCAATAATCAGTACAATTGTGTCAGGGTAGACCGTGCCCGCATCGGAAGAAATGGTCGGACTTTTACGTATATGAATGAACCATCGTGGCGTACTATTCGAGCATGAATGTACCTTGAAAGCGGCGTAATAATAGGAAAAACGGGCTACTTCGGTGCAGCAGAGTGACTAAAATCGTCATTTCGGAACATAAAAACATGATGTCTTTATTATTATAGAGCGAAGTCTTAAAGTTGAAGGATTAATCTATCATTTCTGCTTAATTTTAGATGAAATAAATGAGAATTAGATGCAGACTTTTAAAATTGAAAATCACGGTTTTTGTAGTATCTACAGTATGGCAAACGAACCCTTGTCAAAGTTAGACATGGAATTTCTTCAAACATAAGCACAAATCTTCCCATTATAGAGCGGATTGTTTAAGACAGATGCCCGTGGATCGCTTTTCCTCGAGATTTTGAGCCAAATAAGTTGCAGACTTTTGCGTTTGAAAATATGAGGTTTAAACTATGCGCAATCGCTTTGAACCGGCTGACAACGTTGCATGAGAAACTAGTTGCAGGCGAAATTTAAAGACATCTGAACACTTGCGGCTTGCGGTTGCTACTTCGACAAAATTCATTTCAAGATATCTGATTCATGCAGCTTTCGTTTGATTGTGTTTTCACTTCGTACCTAAATATCCCTAAGAAAAAAGAAACTTGTTTGCTTCAGACGGTGCAGATGTTTATGATAACATATTCAGTGGAACTAGAAACATGCTTGGAGATCTTGAGCAGAAAAGTTCCATGTTCTTCTGGTTCAATATTATTGGCAATAGCCAGAAGAAGAGCTGTAACAAAGAGACAGAAACAGACATAATCAGAACGCTGTTAATCAATCAATTTTTGTGGTCACTTCCCCGGGCATGTTGTGCACGTTGTAACCATATCTTCGATGTTCACGACATCTGCGGATTCCTTGGTGTCATGCCTGAATTTTGTCCAGGATGCCTAATCGAAGAGATAAAGGGAGGGTCCTGAAAGTGTATACTAGTTCTGGGGGTTGTCCGGGACAGATGACATCCATAAAAATTGAAGCTTACATCAGTACTTACCATCTTCTTGGCGAGCAACACGACCCGTACATCTGATTACGGCAAACAGGGCACGGCAGTGGGTTTCTCTTTAAGTATGCTTCATCTTTTTCTTCTTTCTGTCTTTCCCATGGCGATAGCTGTTAAAAAAGAAATGCAATGTACATTACAAAGGAATATAATCTCTGTGTGGGCTGATCTGGTTGAACCTCATCCTTCGATCAACTTTTACGACTCTTCCAAGCCGGTCGGATTGTGTGATTTAAGTATGTAATAGTGGAGCTGTGCTATAGACAGGAGGAAGAATGAAAACAGAAATAAATCAGTGAAATCAATAGAGGTGAATGTTCCATTATTCTCTCTTGGTGAAATACCACCATGTTCATTTTCGGAACCTCGTAATAACCTCCCTCCATCAAAATTACTTTATCAATAATACCTCTTATCCTGGTAATTCATTCTCTCTGGATCATATCTGTACTTGTAAGGTTTCCTCAACTTCATGGCCATCACCATTGAAACCATGAGTAAAAGTGC